CTGAATGATTGATTGATTCGTGAAGTCGGATCAGTCGAAACTAGAGCCTGTTAACTCCATTGATGTAGCCGTGATGCTCTCAAGGTGTTGGCTGTTAGCCGTGCAACTCAGGCAGTAAAATTTTCGGCTTCCATCCACAAGAATCACGGTTCGAGTCTGGGCAGGGACTCCAAAAATGCACTACTGGTGATATTCAGCGATAACGAGATCTATCAAGATTGAGTTAGGTAGGTAAATAATGGGGAAAGAAGTTTACCAATCAGTGTTCGGGTTATGTAGTCATGTCAGCTTTGGTCACAGAAATCGATATATGAATCCAATGCTCTAGGAACTGATAGATTAACGTAAAATCGAACGCGATTAGGTCGTATGCCTTATTTTTCCTTTTTATCACGCGCTCTCCATATGTCTTTCCTCCTGATGCGATAGTGATACTTTTTATCTACTACTGTTCGCTGAGCGAATGAAACCGACCAGTCACAACATTTTAAGGAATGTCGTCGGTATGTACTATACGTTTACCGAGTAGCATTTCTCATACTTTTTGCTCTCACCTTGTTTGTGTTTTGCTTTTGGAGATCAACAGTTCTATGCAATCCATCACGTGGTGGGCACATAACTCTCTCTCTCTCCAACCCAATTACAGACTGTACTGTACTGCTATGCCTGTTCGGGTTAGTGTGGACAACGAGGACAATGCAACCAATCCAGGTGACGGATTCATCATTCGTCCGGTCCGATTGGGCCTATTGCTAGTTCATGTCACTGCCAGCGTGCCACCTGGTATTAGCCTGGAAGCAGTGGAACAGTGCGTCGCGACGTGTGCACTCGGATGAGGAGATTCGACGAGTGGACGGAAAGCTCGATCTATGTTTTGCGTGCATTTCATGCTTGAGATTTCTCTCTATGCCAATGTTCCATGTGTACATGTGATTGAACATTTATGAAACCGACAACAACCGGTATCTGTCTTGCGTTTTTCTTCTTCCGGTTCATGATATCGATTAGCCCCGGATCTAAATCCACCAACATTCAAGTGGATCTGAACGAATAAGCCTGAATCAAAGCAAATGAGGGTAGTTGGGCCACATGCATGATTGAACGTTTGTTGAGGACTGGCAAGCATACTGAGGTACCTGTTGCAGTAAATCCCACGTACCGCATTTGTGTCATGGATCTCTTCGTCCCCGTGAGAAATAAACCGTTTCTGCTGTTTTCAGATGAAATGGGCAGATTTTTGATGAGGTGACTAATTTTCGACACTCATAATGATGGCTTATGTTCTTCAGGTACATTGTATGATTTTATTCTGCTACCTGCATCCCATTTCAAGGATTTTTCAGTGATCTTACATCATCTACAGTAGTCGCATCATTATGAAGCGGTTACCGAAGGAAAACAGATATCTATGTACAGATATCTTGTACATCAGATCGCTGAACGAAATTGTTCCGCTTCTAATTTTGGAAGAGGTTCATGCTCGTTTTCCAAGGTGTCACCAGCATTTAAGCACCTCACGGCAGTACCATGTGGTTATTATCAGATTAATTGTTTGACCCGTTCAAAATCATGGTTTATATCCCATCGAAAAAGTTTACTGATAAGTGAGTGCATGCTAGCCGCATAAGAGCCTTCGAGTGAGATCTATTTGTCCGTTCTCAGCGATGACGATCATTGTAGTTGATCATCCGTAGGTTATTAATATCATTCCGCCCAGCGATGTGGTAAAAGCATTTTCAGGGCAAAGTAAATTTCACAAAGTTGTAAGCGAGAATAGTGCGGTCATTGAACGCGACACAAGCTCGCCAACGTCCATGATCCTAAAAATGAACGTTTGAAAACAAATCCATTAGAGAAAAAAACAGGAATTCGCTTCATTTAATGTAGGCGTGTGTGGCGAAACTTGCACGAAAACGTAGAGCGGATCCACTTTTGTGAAATATGCGGATCCGGGACTTTCTTGGTGGTTCAGCTGTAACGTTCGAACACTTAGAAAACGCACACGAAAACCAAAGACTACTATTGCGCTTCCCACCAGGGCGAACAGGCGAACCTGATTGGAAGACAATTTGGATTGCCAGTTACAACGGAACCCTCTGCCACTTATTGGAACAATCTGATCGGATCGTTGATAATGTTTACCTCTAATTGGGGCAGTGATTCCGTATTTACGTGGGTGTTTTGAGCTGATAAAAACTGATTCTATGGTGGGGATAGAGCCGTGATTTGGGAAAGACGGGCGCGATTTTCTGAGCAATAAGATAGAAATGGGCGCGAGCATAACATACACTTTATTTAGTGAATGGAAAAGGGAATGAGAAATGGACACTTTGCTGCACGGGCGGCTTCGCGCTACATGCCCTACTAACAATAGACGTATTCGGAACCTGTAAAATTACACTTTTGACACTGGCTCGCATGCAGGCTTAGGAAGTTCAATGCGACCAATTTAGCAGTTCTATATGTTGAGTGAAGTTTGAAGATAGCTTGCACACCACAATATCTGGTTTTGTTAAATATAACAGTTGACTGATCATTAGCAAATTGTTGTACGTGGGAGGAGTAAAATACCAATCAACAGAATTCAGAGATTATGTTGTAATCTGAACAAAAATACAAGTCAATTCTGAATGATCCATCGAAACGACTCGAGACTCTCCGATCAAAGTGACAACCAATGGGAATGTGAATCGATGCACACGATTCAGTACGAGGCGTCTGAGAGTGTATTTGATCAAATCGTGATATCTCTCATGTATTCCCCTAGTGTCACTCGCTCACGTCAACAACTACTCTTCAATTTGAATTAGTGGAGGTTTGTTTTACCGTTAATTAAAGTGGGACGGTACATCAGTCAAACCAAATTTAACGAAACTAGTCGGACTGCACTGGACACAGATTTAACTTGCGTGTGTTTGTATTGGTTGACAATGTCGCTCGGTTGGTAGTCAATGTTCATCAGTTTGGAGAAGAATAGACGGATAAAGTCACATTGATTAGAATTTTGTACATCATATTTGTCAGTTACCGGAACATCGATTGTCAGTTACCTCGAGGTCGGTTAGTTGCACAAACGATTGGTAGAGAAGAATCAAAAAGTGGCGTTGCTGTGCAACATCACCATTGTTGACAAAGCGTGGATTATCGGTTCTCGTAGCTCGGGTGAACTGAATTCCATATCACCTGTTCGCCGAGCTTGGCAATTTGCTTGCAAACGGCTCATCACTATTCGCTTTTATAGTTTCTTCTTCACCGACTACTTCTGTCCCTTGTCCTCAATTTGTTCGACCTGGTTCGTCTTTGAACCAGCGTGGAGAGCAGGGGATGTTCTTTCTTCTGGATTGCGGTTCTTAGGTCCGTTCTCGGGTCGTGATATAAACATTTGTTACGTCACTTGATCCTTGAGTTGCATTAGTGAGTATATGTGATACAGTTGGACGTGTCTGTTTGTTAAGTTGTGAGTGAAGCTTGAAGAAACTTTGGCCCATGTTGACTGAGCTTTGTCCATAATTCGTGTTGATTTGAAGTCGAATTGATGTCCCTCTTCGTAGAGGAAACTCATTGATAGTGGATCGTTCTTTTTGGATGCCAACCGATGATATTCACAGATCCTCTGTTGTGTAATTGCGTCACATCGTGGACACGAAGGAACAGCGAATCGAGGAAAATAGTACATATTGATGCCTAAAATCCTGTGCACTCTTTCGTTATGAGGTAAAGATAGATAAAATAATTATAAGTTCCTCCGTTTGTTCGAAATGTAGAGGAAAATTAATTCAATATATCCCCATTCGGGTAAGAAGACTTTTCTCTACCGACATACTGGTTTATGAACTTGCAATAGTTAAATCAGTCTCCCTAAGAATGGATACCCACCTATCGATCGGTGCATTAGAGTCTACAATGGAAAAGAAGTGGTTTATATTTATTTCAAAGATGAAATGCTTGCAGAAACCATTAGCATATACATATATATAGTTCACACCTCTGAATTCAGACAGTACCAAACAAATCATGGCACAAGGACCCTTATGAAAGGGAAGAACGTTTTATGACTTACATGTGGCCGGATTAAAACCAGGTTACCCAGGCCAAGGTAGGTGAATTTTCATGAGGAATCCACAACCAGTCTTCGGCTAGCCAAAGCCTAACCTGCAAGGCCGCGGGGTGTTTTTGAAAATCGCTATCCATTGGGGGCCGGCGTCCACTTCATCGGATCATAAGCCCTTTGGACGGGGTTAAACGTCCAAGATGCCCAATATATCTCGATGCTCAATCGATCCGGTAACCACTGCCACAACCAGCAAGTTGTGTGTGTGATTTGTACGCCTCCTCATGGTTGGTTTGGAATCAGGATTGACCAACTCCCCTAGGTGAACTACCACCAACCCGGTTATGGCCCCAGATGCTAGCTATTCGTCCTCTCACTTTGGTAGTAAAACACCACCACGAGAAGGCAGTGAGTAGGGCTTTCTCAGCAGAGGCTATTCGAGACGCTTGGTAGTATGGGAGCATTTCGCGATGTGCAAAGAAAGGGCGACCAGCCGCTACCCTAGACACCATCCCCGACCATACCGAAGCTTTTGGAGGTAGTCGGTTATCTGCAGTGGCAATGATAACCTTTGAACCCCGTGGGGCTTGTTCCTTGGTATTTGTCAGACAACCACTAAGGCTTTTTCAGCGAACAGTCGGACAGGTCAATTGTGACGTGTTACGTAACACTTGCCCCGGCAGCATAAACAAAAATCGACAGCTTACCGACTGAGTCTAGGTTTAACAGTGCTCAGGGAATTTCCACTGTGCACGGCTGGGGCATCATCACCACACATATAGACAACGTCTATATCTCATATTCCAGTGTGCATTATCTCGATAGGGAACTGATAAAAATCGGGCTTTTTCCGTATTATTATTGTTATCTTCAAAACTATCAAGCGTTAGTTCCGATATCATTTTTAATACATCAGAACCAAGTGATGTCAGGAATGTATCGAAAAACCGATGCGCCATTTGTTGTTTTATTGTGAATGTCTTAATGTTAATAATACAGCGATAGCTGAGATGACCAACTACCCCTTTTTCTTCTCAGTTTATTGTTGTGTTCAGTACTGTGACCCCTGACATTGCCGTTTTCGCACCATTTCGAAAGGAGGTCACTACGAGAGTTTGACTAGTTTTTAAAGAAATGCGGAAAAGAGAGACGTATTACTCCAAACAGTCCGGTGAGACCAGCTAACCGCTGGGCGAATAAGTGACTTCTGTTTTTGGGCAATTACTAAGATGAATAGGAAGAAGTTTTCCTTCCCTAAGTCATTAGGTAGACGCCATATTCATCGGAGTTTCATACTGAGTTGCTTCAAAAGAAACGTTATGGTATCTGATCGTGATCAAAGGGGGGGGGGAGTTGTGGGCTAGTAATTTGTATGATTGTATTGTATTATATTCAAGCTTTAGTGAGTTATATATATATGCCTGGGTGTACAATAAGCCTGCCAGATGCATCACTTACCAGTTATTTTTCCCATGCCTGTATAATCGTAATCGAATAGCGTTAACTCGAACTGGACTTGAAAACCCACAGACTGAGGCAAAAGCAGGCAGAAACAAGAACGGTGGATATAGTTAATTCTATTCGGACAAGCATACCAATAAATATCACAGCTGTCAATCAATCACAGGCACATTCTCCATCGCCCAATCGTCCATAATGCTTTCTGTTTGTTAGCTTTTCGGCATTCAGTCAACCCAATTGCATGCACTTGGACCCAAAATATTGGTCGAAATCTCTGCCTCTTGATTGGCTGTCTGGAACCTGTACCGTGGTGCGTAAGTGCTT